CTGAGCAGGACCACAGTTAGGGAAAATACCCACAACATCCGCTCTACACAGTGAACGACGCTGACCATTACATAATTACATACTTTATTACACAACTGTGCAAATACATTTATATATGATTTTCATTCTGTGTTTCATTTTGAAAGGAAAAAAGGTCAAAAACATAAATGACTGTAAAGAACCCGCAAAAAAACACTCAGATCTCCTCTCTTACTTACAGACACTGATGTGGTCTGGATTGAACGTTTCTCCACTCGTTCTACTGAACTACAGTCAGAAATAATTCAAATAACATTAAAACATGTTTTTATCACAAACAATAACTGTTGCTTCTAAGGGTTTTAATTAATATGATGTTTTTAACTTCAGCTGATTTTTCTAGGTTAAAGTAAATAATACAAAAATAACACCTGAGATACCCAGGAAAGTATCTATATGTAAGAATATTTTCCATATCATTCATATATTTGTACCTCTGTGTAATAATAATATTCCATATGTAGTATATGCTGAATATCACCTCCGTTGGAAAAAACACACATCTCCAAAAAGTAAAATTTACCGAATAACTCTATCTAACTCTACACTCTCAAAGAAGAAGGTTCTTCAAGGGTTCTTTAGTAAAGACAATGGTTCTATATAGAACCATGAACACTCAAAGAACATTTGCATGCTTTTGATGGTGAAATGGCTCTTCAGACTGATGGAGAATGTGTTGTACACGGTTCTATATAGAACCTTTCTGAAAATGGTTCTACAAAGCACCAAAAAGATTCCTTCTATTATACAAGCTTGACTTCTAAACAACATCAGAACCCTTTTTGGTCCTATATAGCACCATAAGCAACACATTCTCCACAAAACTGAACCATTTCACCTTGAAATGTTCTTTGAGTTTTCATGGTTCTATATAGAACCGTTATCTTTACTAAAGAACCCTTTATCAACCATTTTTTTGAAGAGTGTAATCTTAATGTCATTAGCCAAAAATAAATGATTTACAGTTGTAAAAAATGAAATAAGAGCTGAGACACTGCAGGTCCTCACAGTGCAGGTTTTCACAATAAGTAACAGCAGTTTTGTCCAGAAAATGTCCAAAACACACACACACACACACACACACACACACACACACACACACACACACACAGCAAACCAAGCCCGTCCCAGCAGCTCCAGAGTCTTGAACGCCTCAGTTCCACAGGCCTGCGTGGTCAGCACTGATAACAGGCTGAAAAGCTGATCTCTGCTCAAATCTTTTATTAAAGGAACAGGACGGTTCCTCTGATCTCTAACTGATCCAGATCTTTGTAGAGCTCGTCTTCTGGCCCGGCCCGGCGCGACTATCTGTGTGGCCACTGACGGAGTGAAGGAAGTGGAGGAAGAGTAGAGCTTTGATCTCTGCCGTTCTGTCATCGCTAACAATTACATCCTCTACTTGTTCAGAAAAATGGAAAGCTTAGGACGAACGCTTATCAGAACCTGGTATCTAGAACGACACAGAGGAGCAGCGACTTAACGATCAGTGTTGTTCGGGTCTCACAATACAGTGTTTCCTCTTTCAGCTCATTTTGATGTCAAACACTGACAAAAACGGCGAAACGTAAAGGATGTAGACACAACTCTTTCCGTCAGATTCAATCTGTAATAAAATACCTTCTCTCCTACTCTCGGACACCGGCGTGGTCCGGACTGAACGTTTAGAATCTGCACTTTCCACACAGTTTCTCTGCTTGTTTCAGCGAGAAACAGGACAGAGATAATTCATGTAACATTACAGTATGCTTCCGTTATCGCTGACAATAACTGCGACTGCTTTATGTCAAGTGATGCCACAGTGCAAGGAATGAAGTCACTACAAAAAGCTGATAAAGAGGCAAAAGCTTGTTTGTATGTCACAGGATTGTTTATATATTAAAGTCATATCCACCTGTAATTGTAATTTTTCCTAGTTTTATAATAAAGCGTTTTGTTTAAAGCTCAGATCAATAAGCCTCTAACTCTGACTGAGTTCTGTTGGGGTATAAAGGGTTAAATATATCATTTCTGTCCAAATAATAACACACAGTCTCTAAAACAGTAACTTTACAGGAGAAAGTAAAAACAATCTTTACTTTTAATACACGTTAATGTAAAGAGATTTTATCTGAGGCGAATTTTGGGGCGTTTGTGTTGCTCCATTCATCATAAAATTCATTAAAATGATGTGGAAAAATAAAAATCTGGAAAAAATGGAGATGCTCGTTTTTGGACCGAAGATATGGTTAATATTAGGGGCATAAAAATATATTTTTATTTTAACACATCGTATTGTGGTTAGAGCGCTAGCTCAGTGCTAACATGTTTACTGGCAGTCAGTGAAAACAGAAAAAAACTGATATGAAACTGATGATCGTGCTGCTTTATTATTATTTATACTATTATAAAGATTTTGTTTAGTGGTTCTAAACAGACACTGTTCTAAAGTTATGTGAGTTATGTTAAACGTTACATCTTGATTTAATATGCATAACGGCTCATATTACACACTTATACCACAGTGTTTCTTCAGGACTCAGTGATGTTCTTCACCTGCACTGCTGACTCCTCTCACTGTTTAAGAGAGACCCTCCTAATGCCCTACATATATATATATATATATATATATATATATATATATATATATATATATCTTTGTAGGAAGAAATGGTCTGGCAGTACAGTGACGCAGAGAGAGAGAGAGAGAGAGAGAATCAGAAAAAAGGGAGAGACAGAGAGATAAGAAGAAATGAAGTGATGCTGTGTGGATGACTTGGAGTGTCTGAGGTGATGTTTGACCTTTTTGTTTTTGTCTGTGTGTGTGTGTCTGTGTGTGTCTGTGTGTGTGTGTGGGTGTGTGTGGGTGCCTAGCAACAGAGGGTCAGAATATATGTTGCTACAGAGAAGTGCGCGGCATGAAGGCTCGGTCACATGACTGATTTCCTCTCAGCTTCTCACTCCTACAGACCCATTACCTCATCCTCTCTCTCTCTCTCTGTCTCTCTCTCTCTCTCTCTCTCTCTCTCTCTCTCTTTGTGTACAGTAAAGCTGAACGCAGTAGAAATGAAACAGAAGGATACGATCAGTTCCTGGGAACAGCACACTCCCTCTGATCAACTCTCCAAAGATACAGCCCACTGACCACATGTCCACTACACACACACACACACACACACATATAAATGACTCACATGTTTACACACAGTAACACACACCACTTCCTGATCATAAACAGTGGATTTGATCACAGCTGCAGTCACACTTCAACATTTCAGTGTTTTTCTGTGCCTGTACTCTCACTGCACCTCTGTGCAGGCCTGTGGTTGACCTTTTGGGCCTTGAAGTCCGACCCAATCCGGCCTAAATGCTAACACTACATTTGAGACCCAAACATGCTCGGAGGACGTGTTCAGAAAAATGGAAAGCTTAGGACGAACGCTTATCAGAACCAGGTATCTAGAACGACACAGAGGAGCAGCGACTTAACGATCAGTGTTGTTCGGGTCTCACAATACAGTGTTTCCTCTTTCAGCTCATTTTGATGTCAAACACTGACAAAAACGGCGAAACGTAAAGGATGTAGACACAACTCTTTCCGTCAGATTCAATCTGTAATAAAATACCTTCTCTCCTACTCTCGGACACCGGCGTGGTCCGGACTGAACGTTTAGAATCTGCACTTTCCACACAGTTTCTCTGCTTGTTTCAGCGAGAAACAGGACAGAGATAATTCATGTAACATTACAGTATGCTTCCGTTATCGCTGTATCCGGCCTAAATGCTAACACTACATTTGAGACCCAAACATGCTCGGAGGACGAAGCTGGCCCAGCTTTTTATTCAAATTTCACCAATTTTATACATCAAATGGTCCGGCAGTACAGTGACGCAGAAATCGTTAGAAAGCTTGAAATCTCAGGATTCGGTCCCTCAGACCGAGTGTCGTCACCTTCAGAGCCTCTCCGCCTCCACAGAGACACCATCATCCAAAGCATGTGGTCTGATAACACCATTTGGACTCGGTCTCGGTCTCAACATTACTGGAATCAGTCCTGTCTCGGTCTGACATCATTTAGACTCTGTCTTGTCTTGTTCTCCATCTTAAAACTGACATCATTTGGACTAGGTCTTGTCTCGGTCTTGGTCTCAGTTTTGACATCATTTAGACTAAGTCTTGTCTCTGTCTTGTCTTGGTTTTGACATTATTTGGACTCGAGTATGATTATTTGACATGAGTCAGGCGGAAATATACCTTGTTATTCTGTATCAGTAATTCATACAGTTATTCTGACGGTTGGGGGAAAAAAAACGAGTGTTTCCTTTCAAATTAGACTGAAATCGTGACTGTAGTCCAAAGTATGTGGGAACAGCGCAGCTTTTACTTTGGGTTCGCCGTTTCAGGCAAAAACAGGGCGACAGTTAACAGGCTAAACACAATAAACATTGACTTGCTCGCTAACGTACGAAGATGAAAGCTTTGGGCTGTGTGAATCAAACACATCCCTTCCATTAAACCCAACAGACAAAAACAGCAACACCACCCTCTTATATATTAAGAACACCATCCTGCACAAACAAAACATACTTGATTTACCAGCAATAAACATACGCAGATGAGACTTATTGTGAAATATTGATTGCTGTGGTTTATAAGTGATCATCTGCCTCAATTACAGGAGGCCAAGAGCAAAACCTGGACAGATACTTCAGACTGAATGCACTGCTAAGTGTCACCACTGCAGTTAAAAACAATACAAACAGTTTTAAACATAATTATCCCAAACACAACTAAAAGAAAAAGTGCCTGACCTTGTGCAGATTAAACGATCGCACATCACAACAGAAAGGCAGGCCTAAATTAGAGTTAACGATTCTTTAAAAAAGCCCCAAATAAGCTGCGCTGCTCCTCCTAATCAATGCAGTGAGTGTGGAAGCACATGCGGAGAACAATTAGCGCAGGGATAAGCAAACAGCCCGAGTGC